TGATCCCTCTATTCCCATTTTGCTGACAGTTTTTATCAGAAATGGGTGCTGGATTTTGTTGAATGCTTTTTCTGCATCTATTGATATGATCATGATTTTTGCACTTCATTTTGTTTATGTGATATATCACATTTATTGATTTGTGGATGTTATACCAGCCTTGCATCCCCGGAATAAATCCCACTTGTGTGTGGTGTATGATCTTCTTAATGTATTGCTGGATCTTGTTTGGTAGTATTTTGTTGAGGATTTAGCATGTATGTTCATCAGGGATATTGGCCTGTAATTTTCTTTCTTTGTAGTGTCTTTATCTGGTTTTGGGATTAGGATGATGTTGGCCTCATAAAAAGAGTTTGGGAGTTTTCTCTCCTCTTAATTTTCTGACTCTTGATTACTGTCTTCATCTTCAGGAACTCCTATGATGCAAATATTGTTACAATTCATGTTGTCTGCCTTATACTGTCCTTGTGTTTTTTAATTGTTTTTTCTTTTTGGTTCTCTGATTGAATGTTTTTTTTTCTACCTTGCCTTCTAATTCACTGATCCAATCCTCAGCTTCCCCTAACCTGCTGTTGAATCCTTCCAATATATTTTTAATTCTACTATGTCATTCTTAATTTCCTTCATAGTTTCCATTTCTTTTCTCATGCTGTTGAGCATCCTTATGATCAGTATTCTGAATTCTGTATCTAAGAAATTGCTTATCTCCATTTCATTTAGTTCCTCTCTTGGAGAATTTTATTTTTCTTTCATTTGGGGTTTGTTTTCTGTCTCCCCATTTTGGCTCCTTATTTGGATTGTTTCTATGTATTAGGTAAATCTGCTAGGACTCCTAGTCTTTTGGATCGTCTCTAGTGCACACCAGTGTCAAATGCTATTTGTTACTGGCCCTGAGTACCCTGTTTGGAGCTCTCAGTGTTCCACAGCTTGTGGCTCCCTCTGCTGGGGCTGGAGTGTTTGGAAAGGACTCAGCTGCACACCAAGTTCTGCTTTTCCAAGCCCTGGGTCCAAAAGCAAATCAGGCAAAGACTCAAAACACCCAGATGCTGATTGTTATTCACAGTCTTTTAATGAGTCTCAGGCTGTAGAAATTTCACATGATTGGATGAGAGGTTTTCCAACAGGGTGGGTAATTGCTCCCCCGCCAGGCAAAAGCTTCCTGAATAGTAAATGTCTGCCTGAGGAAGATGTCCTCTGTAATATGGGTGAATGATGCAGCACAGGAGTCCAAACAGGTGCCCTCTGAGCACTATCTCCAGAGCTCACAACCTTAGATTCTCCTCACACTGCTTCATTCCACTCTGCCCCCCCTTCTCCTGGAGCCTAAGGTGAGTGGCTGCACATGAAACTTTGTGTGTTGGCCCTTTAAGATGGTGATTACAGTTCCACCTGTCTCTCCCTGGCAGACAGAAACCGTGCTGCTTTTCACAGGCAGATGTTATGTGGTCACCTTTCTCATTTCTGGTGCTCTTGGCTGGGAAGCCCAGCCTGGGGTTTAGACCCCAGAGTTCTCAGTGGGAGGCCACCACAGCTGAGATATCCCTCTGAACCTTCAGCTGCTGCCTGTGGGAGCCCAGCCAGACCTCTCACACTTCCACACTTCCTACCAGTCTGTATGTGGTCTCTACTTTAGGTCCTTGGTTATGAGGTTTCTCTCCAACTAGTCTTCAGTTGATTATTTGGGATGGTTTTTCTATATTTTATTTGTAATTTCAGTTTGGTCCTGGGAGACTGTCAGTGTAGCTTCCACTTAATCCACCACCATCTTCGAATCTCCTCTAAGGGTTTTTGAAGCTCTGAGTCAGAAACCAGGAACAAAGACCAGATATATTCTTTTTTATCTTGTTTGTTTTGCTCAATATTATATTTTTAATATTAATTCAAATTGCTGCATATAGCTACAGTTCATTCTTTTTTTTGAAAATATATATATATATTTTTTTATTTTTTAGAGAGAGAGGAAAAGAGAGGAAGAGAGAGAGAGAAACATTGATGTGAGAGAGAAACATCAATCAGTTGCCTCTTGCATGAACCCCGATCAGGGATCAAACCCACAATCCGGGCATGTGCCCTCTCCAGGAATTGAACTGGCGATCTTTCAGTGCATGGAATGATGCTCAACCAACTGAGCCACACTGGCCAGGGCAATTTCATTCATTTTCGTTGCTTTGTAGTGTTCTTTGTATGAATATACCACAATTAATTTATCCGTTTCACTATTGATGGATAAAAGATGGGTTCTTACAAATAGCTGTAAGAATAATGTAATATTTTCATGTACACAGTTGATATGTACAAGAGTTTCTCAAGGCTGTACTTAATTTTGATTTTCACTTTCCTTAGATGTCAAATTGTTTTTTGAAATAGGTTTGTTTTGAGGATCAAATTTGACAAGTAATGACCTTGTACACACTAAAGTATCAGATATTTTCTTCATTGTGCAACAGTTCCTAAGTTCAGTTATTCTGTTTTTCAGTTCTAGAAAGCCCATTTTGTTCTTTTTAAAATGTTCTCTTTTGAGACTCTGTATCTGTTTTGCCCATCTTTCCCTCTGTTTCTTGAACATATTAATCATTGTATTGTAAATCTTGGCCTGCTAACTCCAATGTCTGGATCATGTTTTGGTCTGCTTCTGTTGATAAATATAGTAAATATGACCATTTAAGAGTTTGTATCAACCAACATTTTAATCCAAATAGTAGTAAACCATGATACTCTCTATTAGATAAAGTGTGTAAAAATCCATCAGCTCATTAAAAAGTTAGCAACAAGAAATAAAATACAATAAATAAGACATTAAAATTTCATTTCATCCTACTGATAATATTTACTCCATAAAGAAAGAAGGTGAACCATACCATGGTTAGATAAATCCTTAAAAATCATTTTTAGTGTTTCCTAAGCAGAAAGCACTGTAGGAAAGATTTTTAAATAATGGTTGTTTCCTGAAAAGCATTTGCTAATTTGAATTAGTGATCACAAAAATTTGTGCATTTTTATCATTATAAATTATTTCTAATGTGCTTATATTAGCAACTTCTCAAAAAAACTTTATATTCTTGTTCTTTTTGTACAGTGTCTTCTGCTTTTCTCAAACAGAAGGTACTGAAAATATTCTTTCAGTTATTTGTATAGAGCATTTCAATATATAAGGCAAGATTATTTACATTACTTCATTTGATGCTCAGTGTCCCTGTGAGGGAGGGACAGGATAATTATCTGTTTTGTAGATGAGGAATCTGAGATTCAGAAAGGATAAAATATGGGATTTATGCATGTGTGTATGTATATTAAGTATTTTTTACTTCTTTGCATGAAAGATACTTTATAAGACTAATAATATTAATTGTAATCCTGTTATAAAAATTATTAACCTATAATAGAATCTGTATGACTTTTATCTAAGGTCAATAAGTTAGTGCAAAGAGCAAGGTTACAGTACAACTTTTATCCTCTGACATAATTTTTATAATATTTTGCCACTACCCATCAGATGTGTTTTTATCTTCTCTTCTTTTAACCCTCTTATCCCTTCCTGTCCTCCATCTACACTTCTTATCTTTTCATTTTTATCTCTCTTTTTCCAATTTCCTCAGTTAGTACCCATAGATGTTTTGTACTCAACTTCTGTCATTTAACAACTTTAAGACATTTAAGTCATACAAACAAATGACTATATATTCCTAAAAATCTCCTAAGCAACTTTGGAAAATTCTGTATAATATCATCATGCTGTTAGAGCTAGGAAAACTATTTCTTCTAATTAATTCAGATAGAGAAATTACTTTTAATCACATGTATTAAAAAGTATATACGTGCTTTTGTAGGATTTCTAAATACATGTAACTTAACTATTTTTAGTTATTTACATTTCTCTCAGAATTGATGTTTTCAGTTTACTAATTTCTAGAAATATCATATTTCAATAATTGAAAACATTAAAACTACAACTATAAAATATGTTTTTATGTGCTAGAGTTTTATAGTTAAATAGATGCATTCTTCCTTCATGAAAACAACTTATTTTTAGTTCATTAATAACATTATAAAAGAGCAATATTATGTGGCATTCTACAACATGACATTTCTGTTTTTTATGCTTTTAGTTTTGGAAATACAATAGAAAAATCTCATCACAGAAATATGTTAAAAACTCATAAGGTGGAAATCTTTCCTTATAAAAGCAGATTTTACCTCAGCTGCAAGATAAAATGCTTCCCTTTTCCTCCGTTCATCTCAGTTCAATAAATAGTGAGCAGATGATGTGTGGAGATACAAAAATAAATAAAATGAAGTATATACTTTTGTAACACTTAAAGCAGAACTTACAGGAGAATCAGGTGGAAGAGACAGACTTATGAACCTGTAATTTTAATACAGTATTATGAATGCTATGATAGAAGTTTATTCAGGGTGCTATGAGAGCATACATAAGGAGCAGTGAGCCTTGACTAGAGATCAAGCATAGCTTCTTATAGGAAATAATGCCTGAGTTAAATTTTGAAGGATGATAAGAATTTATCAAGCCAAGGAAAAGGGGCATAAGTTTGTTCCCAGCAGAAAGAAAAGCATGAAGACTTGAAGTAGCATGAGGATTTATAAAAAACTCTGGAATGAGATTAGAGAGTTAGACCAGATAATTTTCCAGAATATTTGAACAAAGCAAACATGAAAATAGTCCATGGAACTACTTTTTAAATTACTATCATATGAAGTATATATATCCATCTTTAGTTGATATTTAATAAAGTTGAATACTTCCTTTTGTGGAATATTCCTTAAAAGAATATTTAAATCTATTGCAGTATTTGAATTGTTATACAGTATATGAATATTTGTTAATTATTTGAATGTATTTCCCTCACATTTTTAAGGCATCATTTTAAGAAACCTACATAATTTCTAAATTTATTGAATTAGAATAAATTCTGAATGGCAACAATTTTTCCATTCAAGTGTCTTTTTATAACTATTGGTTATCCTCTTTTCGTCTTTTGTAGAGTTCCTGTATCTCAGCCAGAAACTTCTGAACAAACAAAAGGAAATAAACCAAACATATCAAGTAACTTCCAACGTATGTTGCTTTAATTATTATTATTAGTAGTATTAATGAAATCTTTATGGAACACTATTATCTAAAGGTTGTTGTTTGATTCTGCACTTTTGTGTCATGCCTGCCACTGGCATAATATAAGTATTCTAAAAAGATATAAAGCTAGTTATTTTTGTTCCTGGTTATCACTTATATTAGCATAGGTCCTTGTAAAAAATGCTGGTCCGGCCTGGCCAGTGTGGCTCAATGGTTGAGCATTGACTCATGCACCAAGAGGTTGCCGGTTCCATTCCTGGTCAGAGCACATGCCTGGGTCCCAGGTTTGATCCCCAGTAGGGGGTGTGCAGGAGGCAGTCCATTGATGTTTCTCTCTCATTGATGTTTCTATCCTTCTCTCTCTAAAACCAATAAAAAAAAGTACTGGTCCAAAGTTAGAACAATATGGTGGTATCACCAAAGTGAAAGTAAATATAAACAAACTTACACTTATCAATTTGCTTTTTCAGTAGCCTATCGCTTCAAATGTACTATTTTTAATTATCAGAAGAATGATTAAATATAAAGTTTAATTTTAATTTGACAATAAATACAGGTAAAGCTTAAATTGTTATAGTTTCTTTCTTTGCTATTGGGTTGACTGTTTTGAATTTTGGGTTCATTGCTGAAATAATTTAATAAAGCAATTTAATTCTGGTAGGATATCCTTAGAGTGATTTGGGTTAAATCAGATTTTATATGGGGTCATCTCCCTGGTTTAGAGTTTTTATTGTTTTATGTCCTTCTTGTTTTTTGAGTTATTCTTTTTTCTTAATATTTCTATTTTTTTAAACTATGTTTTTATTGATTTCAGAGAGAGGAAGGGAGAAGGAGAGAGAGATATAAACATCAATGATGAGAGAGTCATTGATAGACTGCCTCCTGGACTCCCCCTGCTGGGGATAGAGCCTGAAAACCAGGCATGTGCCCCGACCAGAATTGAAGCATGACCTCCTGGTTCATGGGTTGATGCTCAACCACTGAGCCATGTCAGCAGGGCTTGAGTTATTCTTGTTTTGGGATTGACCTCTAGTCATTCTGGCAAATTAAGAATACACGAAAGAGCCCTGGCTGGTTTGGCTCAGTGGTTAGAGTGTCTTCCTGCAGACTGAACGGTCTCAGGTTCAGTTCCAGTCAAGGACATGTACCTTGGTTGCAGGCTTGATCCCTGGCCCCAGTCAGGGCATGTGCAGGAAGCAACCAATCAATGTGTCTCTAAGTACATCGATGTTCCTCTCTCTCTCTCCTTCTCTCCCTTCTACTATTTCTGAAAAGCAATGGAAAAAATATGAGTGAGGATTAAAAAAAAAGAAGAAAAATGCACAAAAGATATGTATAAGCAATGGACACAGACATCTGTGTGGTGATGGCCGGGGGATGAGGGGGCAGGGCAAGGGCTGAGTGGAGATGGGTAAAGATGAGGGGCAAGTGGGGGACATCTGTAATAGTGTCAACAATAAAAAAGAATGCACAAAAGTATCTGAAGTCTACACCTCACAAAAAAACATAGAAAATAAAGAGAAAATCATTATAATATAAATATATAGCCAAGCTTCAAACAAGAATGAAAAATACCTATGTGCCAGAAGCAAAAGAATTTGAATTTAGTAGGCAGTAAGAACTAAAACTAAAACTGCTAATGGTAATTTCAGAACCAGATAAAGGCCTAAATGATTATAGGCTGAAGTATAAGAACAACATGGAAAGGAAAGTCCAGACCACATGTGAAGTAGAACTAAAATAAAGTTGAACGGTTGTGGATGCCAGGGAAATTATGCCCTTTAATGTGGGAGAGTATCAGAAAACTCCCTGTATCCCCTGGGAAATGGGTAGGAAAAATGTGAAATTCCAGGACTGTGCAGTATGGAAGTGTGGTCACAGTTCAAATGACTATGAAATGGTGAAGAAACTGAGCTAAAGAATTAACACTAATATTTGATCTGAAATCAGTGAAACCCTTAAAGTCTTGACAAAGGTGAGTGTGAAAATGTCTTAAAGGGAGGCTTCTTATAACCTATAGCATTTGGGACTCCTTTGGAAAAGGTCTATAGAAAATTAATTCATAGTTTAAATAATTACAGACTTCCCAACGAAATGGACTACTTTGAGACAATGTGATTAGATATTATATGTGGGAAATTTTGTACCTCAAAAACTAGATCAATCAGAAAGGGACTTTAAAATAAATGTGTTTAAAAGGTTAAATGAATAGAAATCATTAGTCAGAAAAAGATCAATATGAAAAAGAACTGGCATATTGGAAATCCCAGGACGACTGTATATGTAATGGGTTGAAGAGTAATTGCAGATAAAGAGAGAATTAATGCATTTAGAATACAGATACACAGGAAATCATACCAGAGATTGGGAAGGTAAGAGAGAAGTTGAGAGACCTGGTGCATAGGGTGAGAAGGTCCAATTTATATCAAATAAAATTTCCTGGAGGACAGAAGATGGATAATCAGGAAAAAGCAATATTTGAAGAGGTACTTTTTCAAATTAAAAATACATATGAATCGTTAGATTGAAGGATCACAGTGAATCCTGAGCAGAAATATTAAATAAATCTATACCCTGACATATCATGGTGAACGTGAAGAGAATCAAAGATAGTAAGTATCTTTAAATCTCTCAGAAAGTGCATCATTTTTAAAAATATTTTTTTATTGATTTCAGAGATAGGAAGGGAGAGAGAGATAGAAACATCAATGATGAGAGTCATGGGTGGGCTGCCTCCTCCACATCCCCTGATCAAGAATCAAACTGTGACCTCCAGGTTGACGGGTCAACACTCAACCACTGAGCCATGCCAGCTGGGCAGAAGTGCATGTTTTTTACAAATGAAATATAATTACATTGGAAGATTTCTTATTGGCAATAATCAATGCATTAGCCAGGGGTAGGGAACCTTTTCCTGCCAAGGGCAATTTGGATATTTATAACATCATTTGAGGGCCATACAAAATTATCAACTTAAAAATTAGCCTGCTATATTTGGTCAAACATTTAATTAACTCACCCCTAATGTGATGGCTGGAACTGCAGTTGCCTGGCAGGGCCAGACCAAGTGATTTTGCAGGCCACATATGGCCTGCAGGCCGTACATTCCTCACCCCTGCCTTAGACAGTAGAATAATGTCTTCGAAATGTTGAAAGGAAGTATTTTCCAATCTAGAATTCTATATTTAACTAAACAAACTGTAAGAATGAGGGTAAAATAAATATATTTTTATATATTCAGAAGCTGAGATTTTACTCATAGCCTCAATGAATTAGTTACTAAAGAATTCTGAAAGGAGGAAAATGAACCCAAAAAGAAGTAGCAGAATGCAAGAAGAAATGGTGAGCAAAGAATTTTGTAAAATATTGGTAAATATAAATAAACACAGGCAGTAAAATTAACAACTACAGTAATAAATAATTTCTTGGGATTTGAAACAAAGTAAAAGTCAAATAAAATTTAAAATAAAATGGGTGGGCTCTGACCAGCATGACTCAAAGGTTAGAGCGTCAGCCTGTGCACCAGAAGATTGAGGGTTAGATTCCCAGTCAAGGGGACGTACCTGGGTTGCAGGTTCAGTCGCCGTCTCCGGTTGGAGCTCATGTGGGAGGCAACCAATTGATGTGTCTCTCTCACATTGATGTTTCTCTCTTTCTCTCTCTCTCTCTCTCTCTCTCTCTGAAAATCAATGGAAAATATATCCTCCGGTGAGGATTAAAAATAATAATAATTAAAAAATAAAATGGGTGGGAAGATGAACTATAGACTTTGTAAATTTAAACATGAAAGTTAAAATTTTGAGGGCATGTTGAAAGAACAGGTATAGAAGGTATAACTTCCAAAGCAACACAGAAAAAAAGGAGAATTATGATAATTTGATCAGGACAGTAGAAGGCAGAAAAAAGGGCGGGGGAAGCAGAGGAAAAAAACATATTTAAAACACAAAATAACGTGACCAAACTAATTTCAAATACATTAACAATTTCAATAAATGTAAACACGTTAAACTTTCAAATATGAGTTTTAAAAATTAATCTAGTTATATGCTGCATGTAAAAGACATATTTAAACAAATTTATATAAAACACTTAAATATAAATGAATGGCAAAAGATATACCAGACATATACTAAACAAAGGAAAGGTAATGTAGCAATATTAATATGAGATAAAAATTTGCTATTTATGTAGAAGTTTTTTTAATGATTTTGCCCAAGCAATGTGGATAATTGCCTTTATATTTCATTTTTCTTTTTCTACATTTCTTTCTTGATTATTTACAATATAGAAAACATACTGATAGTTTTTAGTTATTTGGGTCAAATATTAAAGAAACTGGTAATTAAATGGTCCTAATTATTTTAAAAACTCCTACAAAAATGTAAGGAGAGTACATATTATCCCCATTCATGAGCAGAGACAATACCTTATTAAGTTAGTGTGCCAAGCCCCCAAATAGTATTTCCATTACAAGAAAGCTTCTCAGGAAGTAGCTGTTAAATGAAATTTATAGGTTCTTTCTACTTTATGAAGCTCTTTTGCATTCATTATTTTTTCTTTTTTTAAATTAAGGTATAATTGTCGCATAAAATTATATTAGTTTCAAGTGTACAACGTCATTTGATATTTGTATATATTGTCAAGTGAGCACCACAATAAATCTAGTTAACATCTGTCTCCATACATATTTACAATTTTTTTCTTGTGATAAGAAATTTTAAGATCTACCCTCTTTGTAACTTTCAAATATGCAATAGAATATTATTAATTATAGTCACCCTGTGTGCATTTCATCCCCATGACCTATTTTATGACTGGAAATTTGTATCCCTTTCACCTATTTTGCCCACTCCCCACCCCTCACCTATGGCATTCATTAATCTGTTCTTATATCTATGAACTCAGTTTCTTTTCTTTTCTTTTCTTTTCTTTTCTTTTCTTTTCTTTTCTTTTCTTTTCTTTTCTTTTCTTTTCTTTTCTTTCTTTTTTTTTTAGATTCCACGTATAAGTGAGATCATAATGGCATTTTCTTTCTGTGCCTGATTTATTTCACTTAGCTTAATGCCCTCAAGGTCCGTCCATGTTTTGGGAAATGCAAAATTTCATTCTTTTTTATGATCACATTTTCATCATCCATTCTTCCATCAATGGACACTTAGGTTGTTTCCATGTCTTGGCTATTGCAAATAATGCTACCATACACATGGGGGTGCATATATCTTTTCAAGTTAGTGTTTTTGTTTTCTTTGGATTAACACCCAGAAGTGGATTTGATGGATCATACAGTAGTTCAGTTTTTAATTTTTTGAAGACCCTCCATGCTGTTTTCTATAGTGGCTGCACCAATTTACATTCCCACCAACAGTGCACAAGGATTCCCTTTTCTCCACGTTCTCACCAACACTTGTGATTTCTTGTCTTTTTTTATAATAGCTATTCTAAACATGAGGTGATATCTCATTGCGCTTTTTATATGCATTTCCTTCATGATTAGTGATACTGAGCATTTTTTCATGTACCTGTTAGCCATATGTATGCCTTCTTTGGAAAAAGATCTTCTGCCCATTTTAAAATCAGATTGTTTGGGGTTTTGGTTTGTTTGGTTTTTTTTTGCTATTAAGTTGAATGAGTTCTTTATATATTTTGGATGTTAAGCCCTCATGATTTCAATTATTTTCTCCTATTCAGTAGGTTGGTTTTTCAGCTTGTTGATGGTTTCCTTTTCTGTGCAGAAGCTTTTAGCTTTACATAGTCCCACTTGTTTACTATATTGCACTGTTAATGAATGAATTAGATTTGTATGTGTTAACATGGTTATTAATGTATTCCCAGTTATGTTTCATAATAGTTTTGGAAATTACTATCCAAAAGACACTCATTTGTGTGTGTGGTTTTATATTGCTGGGTCTTTTGAAAGCTACAAAGTTTAACATTTTATCATTTATATTTGATAACTTAAATAAGTAGATAAGACATACATTGAAAGTTAATAAACAATAACAGTGCTACTGAAATACAAGACATTACAGGTAGCCTCTCACACATAATTCTTTAAAAAGTCTGTTCTATACTTGGTTTTAATTATAGAACTGATCACTACTAACTGGAGTACACTGTTCTTTTCTAGCCTTATAGATCTTGTTCCAGGGTGGGGTCAGTGGAACCAAGACAGGAAGAGGAAAAGAAAATAATTCCTTTCCCTCCCCTATGCCTTCATACACCCTTACCTATAACTCTTATCTACATAATGAAATGCTCAGAGTAGATTTTATGAGGAAAAAAATCACCATTCCTACATGCATGCATTTATACTGTGTCCCTTTTTACCTCACAACCTAAATGTGATCTTCTCCTGAATACTTTCCTCATTAAACTATAAATCTGTTCTCACGAGAAAAAAGGGTAAAATGAATCATTGAAATAACAGTGAACAGCCTGGCCAGTGGTTGAGCATGGACCCATGCACCAAGAGGTCACTGGTTTGATTCCCAGTCAGGGCACATGCCCAGATAGTGGACTCGATCCCTGGTGGGGGTGTGCAGGAAGCAGCCAATCGATGTTTCTCTCTCAGAGATGTTTCTATCTCTCTATCCCTCTCCCTTCCTCTCTCTCTAAAATCAATAAAAACATATTTACAAAACAGTATGTTTCATATTGTAATTTTAGTAGTATTCAAACTAAAAATAAAAGAAATCTAGTTCATGATTTTCCACCTTTTAGAAAAACCTGAACTCTAATGTATTTTGTCTGTTTCCTAATTATTACCTTTAAAATCTTGCTGTTGATAACCAGTTCCTGCTTACAAACATTTCTTGTATTAAATTTATACCTTTTTGTATTGATTATGAACATTTAATTGGTATAGGTAATTACAATCCCAAGTTACTAAATTAAAAAAAACAAAGTATGATATTTCAGAGGAATTTCTTATGTAAACATTTATACCTTGCCAGTTCTTAATATTAACACTGAAAAAATAAGCATAGAAAAATGTTCTGACTTATCCTACCAGAGTCAATCATAGGATTTTTTATAAGGTAAATGTAATTACTTAATTTTTAAAAATTGGAATAGCCTATAACATGTTCGTTGCATGCTATATTTTCTAACAAGTCAATCATGAACACTCAATATAACTTGGATCATTGTCATAGCTACTTATCACTGCTCTAATTGTGTACTTTTTATTAGTTTGGGGAGGGGAGATTTATTTCTAGAAGGTAAAAAAGATTAAATCATTGCCCAATTCTCAGTGTAGTCCTATTAACTTGGAGCTTTTCTCTTGGCTTTGATTGATTCCTTTCCTTCTTATGTGTGATTAAATATTTTATTCTTTTTGTTGTCAAGCATTTTTATAGGAAGTTAAGTGTATTCATCAACTGAATTTTGAGTTTTAAAAAGTCTTTTGTAATATTACAGTATTTTAAATTCCTGGTAAGAAGTGCATGTTCAACCTCTTCATCTTTTCTTCCAATTTAGTCTGGTATTTTACTTTTAATAAATTTTTAGTAAGTCCCTTGCTAGGTTTAATAAACTGAAAAGTAGTCTGAGATAAGGAATAAAGTTGGGAAAGCAGCCCAGCCAGGCGTTGTTCAGCGGTTGAGAATCGACCTAGGATCCAGGAGATCGAGGTTCGATTCCCAGTCAGGGCACATGTCCAGGTTGTACACTTGATCCCCAGTGGGGGGTGTGCAGGAGGCAGCCCATCAATGACTCTCTATCATTGATGTTTCTATCTCTCTCTCTCTCTTCCTCTCTCTGAAATCAATAAAGATTTTTTTTTTCTTTTTAAAGTTAGGAAAGCAGAAGTAGTATATTAACCAAACTGAAACCTTACTGTTGATGCTCCTTTCTGCCTCATCAAGGTTGTTGTGTATTTTTTTAATGCTAGGGTAATAATGAACAGCAAGCAGCCTGCAGGGAAGCAATTCAGCAGCCATGGTAAACTCTGAAACAAGAGTTGCTGTCAGTTTTCCTCAGCTAGCAGAATTGACAAATGAGAGTTTTGTTCCAAAATCTATTTTTTTTCTGATTCTACCATATATCTTCAGTTCCCAGGGTATATTACTCAATTAAAATATTATTTTACAAAATTTCTTAGCACAGTGTCTAGCATATAATAGGTGCTCAATAATTATTTGCTGATTGAATGAATGCCACAATGTGTAGGGGAGAAATTATATTCTGCCTTAGGAAACTAAATGTGTTAGATAAACTGTACATAAATGACAAATTAACTTGATGTTAGAGAACAATCCAGAATTGAAGCAGTCTTTCATCTCAATTTAGTTCCCTCTTTGTTTTCCATATGTCATTTATATATGAAAGGGGTATCATATAGATAAATGGTCCTTTCGAAGGAGAGTTATATCCAAGTAAAAGACTGTCTTGTATTTGTTCAGGCTACTTTTAGCAAAGGTGAACAAAATTTTGTTTTAAGCTTAAATTCTACCAATAGAGAGTAGTGGTCCCATCTCTAAAGGTTATTATTCTCATGAATTTGATTTACCTTGAGCTTCTCACTGAATATAAAAGGAATATATGTTTATTTAAGAGCATTCAGAAAATATAGAAAAAGTATAAAGAAGATAATTAACAAATCTCCATAAAGCTATTAACAGAGAAAACAATATTACTTTTTAATAGTTTAGAGTAAAAGTTTATTTTGAAAGTGAATTTAGTTTCCTCACTTTTGTAAGAATTATCTTTTGGATATTCAGTCTACATTTTTAGGTGGTTGTTTGATTTTTAAAGTTAATTAAACCATTCCTCATTAATCTGTCCTCTTTTGGTAGAGAATGTCTTGATTTGTTTAGTTTATAGGTTAATTGTGTCTTTCTCATTGTGTCTTTAACAGATAGAGAAAGTGCAAGCACTAGTATTAAATGGAAAGCCAGAAAAACTCTAGCTCATAGGTGGGAAAGTCAGCTGTGGAGAGAGAAAAAGTTTGGCTTAAGAGATCACCTGCGTTACAGCTGTGTTTATCCTGAAAGTATTCCACGGAAATTTATTTCCGAACACAAAAATTTTCTTGTTCAGCAGTATAATTCTCAGCCTGCAAAATACATACCACCAGAAGAAAGGCTCCCAAAACTTAGTGATTTTAAGAGTGCCCGAAGCATTGGACATTTTGAAATAACCATCCTAGGTAAGTCAACTGTTTTCCCCTTTGTATATTATTCATTTAACATATTTTAAATATAGATGATAGTATTTTGCTTCAAAAAATGAAGAGCCCTCACAAAAAAATTAAGCCCAAGGAGAGCTCCTGTTTGGTTCAAACCAAAGGAATGGAGCACTAATTCTGGAATACATTAAGCTCAAACTGTGGGCTTTTAAACATTAGCAAGTCTTTGGAAAGTATTTGGGGAAAGAAGATTGAGAATCTAGGCAACTTTCCTCATCCCAACTATCTTACTACTTCTAAAACTGATTCTGTTCTCCATTAGCCACCACTTTCTTGCCCATATTCTCTGTCTCTTTCTCAGAGCATCTGAACCATTGAAAGGTAAAATGTAGGTTAAAGAGAAAAGGGTACTAATCAAGAGAAGTTCCTATAAACAGAGGTCTGTTCAGCCCCTAAAGAAAATAAAATTCTCAAGTAACTCAGGTTGAACAGAAAGAAGCTACTGAATAAACTTCCCATGTCTGATAAGGGAAATAAACTGATTTCCTCAGGTTGTTTAAAATGGAGAAGTAGCTACAGAGTTTATAGAAATGTAAAGGAGTCAACACATTTTTAATCTTATTTTTAAGTTTGTTTTTAATGAGTGAGAATGTACACAAAAAATAATTCTAATGTAAAATCTTAGTTAAAAATGAGCTAATCTCAAAGTCAAGGAAAACATTTGATTTGTACTTGGGTTTTAAAGGAAGGTCTTGTTATCTTAAAATGAAATGATGAGAAAAAAATCATTGGTAAATGAACTTAATGCCTGAAAGAAAATGCAGTTCATAGATTTTTACATCTAGACTACTCTGATGAATTACCTTGACCTTTATCAAGATTCCTTTCCCCTTTGCTCTCCCCCACTCCCACTTCCCTACATTCTTACACATAAATATGTACATACATGTGATTGTGTACATGTGTATAATCTATGAAAATTGTGAATTTCCACTCTGTTAGACAGTCTTATACCTAAGTTTCAAATGCTTCTTTTCACTATACTGCATTACTTGGTCTCTTTGGGTAGTTTATCAATCTTAGTTTTATATCTAGGAAACAAATATTACAGCAACAATTTTCCATATATCACAAAAAGTAACTATGGAAATAATGAGTTCATCTGGAAACACAGAAATTTAATATTTTTCTTCTTTTTAACATGTTACTCATCTATTAAACATATCAGCTGTCTTACAAGTAATTGTAAACCTTTGTGGCTTTTGCTATGCACCACATAAAAGCGAGAATCAAAGGTAAAGAAGACAAATTTATCATTCTGCCCAACCAGCTCTAATCCATATTAGAATTATTCTGTTTTGTATCTTGCCTGTTTTCAAGGACTTAAGATGGTTAACAGGGATAAAAGCCAGTGGAAAATAAACCATGTATGAATAAAACAAAACAACATTTAAAAGGATACAAAACAAGTGGGTATTACTAGGTACTTGCAAATAACCAAAATTCTACTGTTTGGTAGCAATTTTATGTCTGCTTTCTGGCAAGAAGGGAGAAAGGGGATTTTTCCTGATGAAATATTTTAGAGTTAAAAGAAATTTGGATATCTTCTAGTCCTAGTTCCTGGCTAGGTTGAAGCCAGGCCAGGCCACAGAAATTATGTCTCCTTCGTCTCTAAACCTATTTCTATTACAGAGAAAACAAACAGTCATATATAGGAACCCTATTTATTTGCCTAACAAAACTCTGAATTCTAGTATTAACCAAAGAACTTATGACAAATATTATTAATAATATAGAATCTAAATCACCTTATTTTACAACTCAAAGTAGTATCAATGAAATGCTGATAATAAAGCTACGTTCTTGAAAATATCAGGATTTCCAACTTAGGATATTTTCTTATTTCTAAAACATTCTTTCTTTCACATTTGCAAGTTGGAATGCATCTTATGGTCAATGAGTACATTTAATGCAATGTTTACTTTTTATTTAAAATGCTTATTAAATTGATGGTATATCTGAGAGTTAAATTTCATCTTAGAATCAAGGAAATAAGATACCAGAATGTGCACATTCACATCAGTTTTGCAGCATTGCTAAGATTCATGAGGTAGCTACACTAGTTATAATACTGAGTTGGAATCCTCAGTAAATTCTAGATATCATGACTATTTTAGTTTATGAATACCAAATTTTAGTAATTCCTAAAAATCTTTAAGTAGCCCTTAGTCCTATGTTACATTAAGCTGTGGAATTTTGTATCATTTGCCCATAAAAGGCAAATAATGGACTTGCATTTCTGGATTAGTTTACAGTTCAACAGGAAGGACTTCGTTTACACATCATTGGACCATACTCAGTACTTAAGAATCACTGTAAAGATGAATAGGAGAGATATTAAGGTCATAGAATCTATAGGACTCTGTAACCAATATCAGGGAAAAATAAAGGGAGGAGTTACAGATAGCTCCCAGCATTTCTGGTTTGGGTGACTAGGTAGAATTCACAATTTTAGAGCTTTGCTCTGTGTGTTTACTCTTGCTTCTGCCACAATGGGCTCCTTACTCTGGTCTATAATTTTGGCTATTCCCTGCCCTGCCTGAAATATCCTCCTATTTACTTAAGTACTATTCATCCTTCAGCACAAACCCTTGCCTCTAGGAAGTCTTTTGTCTACCCTAGCTGACATTGACCCACGTAAAGAGATGACAGCAATAGGTCAGGATTCATTTTAGTTGGTCCTCTATAGCCCCTTTTCTACTGCAGCCTCATAACCCTAAGAGTAAGTTATCGACACTTGTATATTTGAGGGCAGATAGGACCTAGTTACTACCATACATACCATACCATATATCCTTAAGTCCAAATGGCAATAAGGGAACCAATAGTTTTCTCATGAATGGCAAAGAAAATGTGACTAGGCTGTCCTCTGGGTATTAAGATTTCAACCTTTCCTCAGTAGGGAAAATTTTTTAGATTGTTATTCCCAGTAGTGGTGAGATTGCACTGAAGTGTCTCCTCTTTCAACCAATAGCATGTATTCAAAAATGTTTACACAGCTAAGGGTTTAGTCCACAGTTTTCAAACTGTCTTTTACAGGTGTTAAGCTGTTTGGCATATGTTAGGATAAAACCAGCAAACTTGGCCTCATTAGCACCATATACTAACCTACTAAACTTTAATAAAGTGTGATTTTTCTTTAACAGGTCTGAACCATGAGAGAGCAATTGATGTTGCATTTCTACCCATGTATTGTCCAGAAGATATCCAAACATCTCAAATAGATACATTATTAACCTGCATGAATTACAGCTGTGTGTATCCACAGGCAGTAACTGACTCTGAGAGGATGCCAGGTCCAAGAGGACTTCCAGGTAAGACCATCTCGTTGTTTTCATTCAGAAAATTAAATTAATTAATACTGTAAACAGCCATAATGTTTTGTAGAATTGTGCATCTGAAACCTGTATAATTTTATTAATTAGTGTCACCCCAATAAATTCAATAAAAAAGGGAAAAAATATTGTAAACAGCCCTAACCTAAAATATTATATAAATAGTTATAGCCTTAATATTTAATATAGTTTAAAGAGTTATTTGATAAATGTACCCCAAGACTTATAAGTGAAAAAATATTTTTAAATAAAATTGAATGGATTTCTGGTTTTTGTTCCAGGCAGGCATTAAGAATGTTCTTTTATAATGCAATTCTGAATATAAATATTATTGGACCTAAGTAGTATGCACATGGAGCAGTATAAATTCTAACCTTCTCTCCTTTTAACTCAGGGGAGACAATTTATCCTTTCACCTTATAATTGCCTGAAATTTTAATACCTCCATAGTATAGCATAGTACAATTGTTTTCTCTTATAAATGTTTAATTATTCAAGTGCTATGAAATAAACTCCTTGAAGAGTGCTAGGAGTGAATATAATCCCAATAGTGAAACCTTTCAACCAACTAATTGTTTAGGCTACTACATAATATGCCAAACTTATTTCTATATAACAAAATTATTTATATATACCTATAAAATTATGTGTCCATAATTACCTCATTCACTTTCTGTTGCCATTTCTATTTCCTAAGCATGTGGTAAAGTTTTTAGCAGGTTTCATTGAGCTTCTAAGGATATTAGGTTTAAAAGATCTTTTAAGAAATTCTTTATTGTCTCAGGATTTTGTGGTGGGTCTTTCTTTGCTGATGAAACTCTTGAGTGTATGTTGTTTTTAAACAAGTCTTATGAGCTGTGTCTGATGATTAAGTAACTTTTTTTGGTATTAATGATTACTGAAAACTGAACATGAATAGCTAATTTTATATGATGAGGTTTTTTATTTTTCCCACAGTCTATTTTAGAGATGATTATTAGTTGACTTGCAGTATTACTTCCTACATTTCAGCTCCTTAGACTTCCAAAAATTCCAGATTCCTTAATTACTGCCTAATATGTACTTTAAATATTTGTACACTTATTTTCTCACTTCATACATGTTCATTTCTGTTACATTTCTTCTGCTATATGTATATGTTATTGAAGTAAAATATCAAGGCAAAATTTTCAGCTACCTACTAGTTTCTAGTGCCAGTATTCTTCCAACAGTCACTAACATTGTCACATGAAAATAGCTGGTTATTATTTGGGAGATGGAGGGCAAAAATCACTAGAGGAGAAAAGTGATGTGGTAATCAAAAGCAAGGTGATTTATTTTGTGTTTCTCATCACATAACATTATTGATAATATGCCCTGGCCAGTGGTTCAGTTGGTTGGAGCATCATCTCGTACACTGAAAGGTTTTGGGTTTGATTCCCAGTCAGGGCTCATACCTAGGTTGAGGGTTCCATCCCCAGTTGGGGTGCATTCAGGAGGCAATCAATCAATGTATCTCTCTCACATCGATCTTTCTCTCTTTCTCTCTTTCTTCCTTTTTCTCTCAAATCAATAAAAACATATCCTCGGGTAAGGATTTTTAAAAAACAATATTAATAACATAGTGTCAATTTAGCTCTGTGCCAAGCACTGTGCCTAAACATTTTTATAACTTATGAATAGCCTTAATAATAAGAACCCTGCAATGTGAACATTATTATCCCCTATTTAAAGATGATTAGATTGAAAATCAGATTTACTAGCATGGGTAACAGCTAGGATTTGAACCCAGATCTGTCTGATTTAATTTTTCATTCCTTCCATGATTCCAAAGTAAAAGGTCCACTTGAAAAGTAAAACTAGTCTCCCCGAAAGGTAAAAATAGGTACAGAAAAATATAATGCAGTGGCTTATAGCATAACATTGGTGTCATCTTTTAAACATTTTTTATGAACTAGTTTCTTTTTATTGTCTTGAAAATATGCAGATTTACTTTGCTCCACTACAAAAATTAAAAAATAAAAATAACTAAATGTGGCTTTGAAGTACCAGCACATATCTTGACATTACTGGTAGCATCTGTTTGATATATTCACTGTTATCTGCAGAAGTTACTGTAACATAACTTTGATGAATGTGTGTGATGAATTGGAGGGAAGATGGAGAAGATGAAGGACAGTGTTAACATTATAAGAAAAAAACATCAGCTTACATGATATTAAATAAAAGTAAATATTTAACTATTTTACAATACTTACCATCTGCTTTTTACTTTTAGGTGATATTATAAGAGCAGTAACTGAACTGGATAGAGTGCACATTGTCTGTATCTTGGATATCTGTAATTTGGGTAACAACAAAGTAGAAGTCTATTTGCATAAAGTTTATAAACCAAATAATGCTTCTTAAAAATTGGCAAATGGAATTATTATGGGTTATTAAAGAGGGCACTGCTTTAAAGATATTGTCATTTTGTTGGTAATTTTGATAACTTTTTCTGCAATAATATTACATAAGCTCTCAAGTTATTAAGTGGTTTAATGTTTGTCTTGTATTTGGAGCTAACAGATTTCATTTATGTTCACTGTCTTATTTGTGAAGTGTACGTTTGTTCTAAAACCTCAGCATAAGGCATCTTGACTTTAGAAAAATAACTTCTCATGGACATTTAAATTCCTCCCACTTTTATCCACCTATAATGGGAAACTTTGAGTTACTAATTAGAAGATTAAATGTTTCTAAAATGGTAAACCTGCATTTGTTACAATCAGAGTAGTTTCTATCATTTTCAAAAGCACACAAGAATTATTATAGTCTAGTTGCCCCAATCTTTAGTTCGGTCAGATATATAGTGTGCATGAATTAAACTGTCTTAAGGTTTTCCACTCTTATTGTGACTTCATATCCTTTGAATTTCTAAATGTTTAACCAGTCTGTGATCTTAAAGCCAGAGGTTACAGTAAGTCTAGGTTCTTGCTGTATTCATTTGTCATTTTGGCACATGTAATGTGAGTTTAAACAGTTAAATTTTTATCTTATATTAACATTTTAAGTGTTCATATTGAAAATATAAAAGAGTAACTAAGGGAATTGATTTTATTCTGGTTGTCTATTATACTTCATTTGAACTGTAAATGGCCTTCCACATTTGCAAGGCCCTATGGTTTACATCTATGTGGTTGGCATCTTTGAGCATCTATGACCAACACATGAGTTAAAAATTATTGTCAAGATGAATCTGATTATAGTTAAGCTATGAACTTGTGGGGTTTCATTCTAGCCTTATGGTTCTATGACTTCATATGCTGTGCATTAAAAATGTTTTGGGCAGCTCACGAACTTAAAAGACATGCTGCAGTTTGTTCATAAATGTGTTCAGTCTTTTGTTCTTTATAATTGTGTTTAAATGTTAATTAAAATTGTGAATCCTTCTTGTGTTAAAATTTGGGTATATCATTAAAGAAGTTAAAATACAATAAGATTTTTGCTCACCCATCTCATTTTGAATAGATTTGATGTCTGTCTTCCATATTTTTGGCCATGAGAGACGTACATGTACTTGTTAAATATGATTTTTCCAAATGGATTGAAGATTGTTGTTTTGTCAAACAAAATTTGTGTTTTTGTATTTAGCTTTAATAAACTTTATAAGGCAATTCAATTTTAGTGTCAAATAAATGTTGGGGAAGGGAAAAATAATACTTAAGTAGCTATTGACTAAAACCTCAGGCTGAGATTTCAAAACTAAACATTTTAACAGGTATAATTTCTGTTCTCATATTGAATGAGAAATATGAACTTTTTTTTTAATTTAGAATTTTTAAAAACAAATTCCCTAAAAATTTATTTTATATTCTAGTAATATTTCTATCCAGATTTGGAGTTAAACATCTGTGTCATTATTTTTGGATGTTGCAAAATTGGATCACTGCTGTGGAAGTTTCCTAAAAAAAATATCAAACTACCCACAGAAGAAATTATCTTCAAGTGACAATATGTGTTCATTAGTTCCAAAGCCAACATAAATATACTATTGTGATGTCACATTCATATTAATAAACCAATTAGTAAATTATGAAATATTACATAATCTATCAGAGGACCATAGTCTCTCATTGAAGGTTCTAATTTTATATTGCACATATGATATACACATTGAAATCCTTTGGTAAACTATTAAAAGAAAAACCTGGATAGGTGGGAAGATGGTGGCCAAATAAGCATACCTTTCTTGTACCTCCTCCCAGGGCCAGACTGGAAATACAACTAAATTGGGGAACATTCACCCTTAATGACCTACTGAGGTCGAGCTGAAGAAGAGACCTATGTTAAGGAGGGACAGAAGACACCTGGAGACTGGTAGGAAGGGCGAGGTCAAGGGAGGGGCTGACCCAGCTTTCATGGGTAGCAGGTTGAGAGTGAGGAGGGATCTCTAATCCACAGAAGGGTTATTTCCCTGAGAAGATCCAGCCCCGCAACCCAGGCTGGGCACCACAGCCCGGAGCACCAGAGATGAGACCAGCGACCACTTTACATCCAGCTATGAAAGGTGGCAGGGCAGTTGGCCGCTGGGGAGTCTGGATCTGGTCGGAGTTAAAGCCGCGGGGTTTTTTGTTTGTTTGTTAAAAACCCAGAACACTGAAGTTTTGTCTGCAGCTACTCACCTGAGGTTTTGGAGGAGGGAGTTCAGTGTGCTCTTAATGTGCCTAAGGAGAGACTTGGGGGGGAAACACTGGGGGAGATATGGAAAAGTAGCAGCTGGCCATACCCTCCCAAACTGAAAGAGCCATTTTTCCTGAGAGGTGCTAGCTCTACAAACCACCCTAGGTTATACAGCATGCCACACCCTCAGGAACCCTGCATTTTGAACTTTGTAGAGGAGATAGCAGCAGAGTCCAAGTCTATGGGTTTGAACAGTGTCAGGAAGCGTCAGTGACTGGATAAGGGGTGGGGACACGCATCCCACTATCCAGGAAACCTGACTGGTGATTCCCCCATACCCTGCACAGGGGAGCTGATAGAAACCCTGGGTATCCAGCTGATCCAACTGGACTGCATAGGAGGATATCTGTCCAGCCAAGGGCAGAGTACTATTTTGGGACAATAGAGGAGTAGCTCTTGGATGGGAAACACACCCACCACTGTCCATGAAATCTGAATAGCACCTCCCCCTCATAGGAGACACAGAGGTCTATACTCAGTATTCCACCTAAGGCCCTTTCAGGAACAGAATTTTGAGCGATTAAGATTAACAGCTGGCTGGCATTGGAAGGCAGGTGGAGGTGGAGCCCAGGGAACCTGGGGAAGGTTGCTGATGCAGCCCTGGGCCCCGTGCTGCTAACAAAATGGCCTTAGAGTGAAGCTTAGCCCTGCTTCACACAGCCAAGTCCTGTGGAAACAGACTCAAACTGTGGATAGATTGGAGCTTCAAACAGGTTGCTGAAAGCCAAAGGAGGACAGTTTCTGACAGTAGTTAGCACCTAAGTACCTCCCTGGAAGTCCAGAATTGGCAGACAGAACAGTCAGCTGCAGTTATCAGAAGAGCAGGATCTGAAGGGAGCTCCCAGGAGGCACTAAACTCTGCTCAGACAAACACCACTTCACTTTTTCTTTCTTTTTTTTAATATACTTTTTTGTTTTTTAATTTATCTGTTTATCTGTCTACATTACTGATTTGTTATTATTTTAGTTTCTATTATTTCTTTCATATATCTAATTTTTCTCTTCCCTTTTCCTACTCTATTTTTCTTTTCTTTTTCTCCTGCTTTCTTTTGTTATTTTCTTATTTTGGGTCTACTGTTTTTTCCTCTGTTTTCCTCTTCAAAAATTTTTTTTTCCTCTTTTCCTTTATACCATTTTCCTTCTGCTATGCTTTATTCTTATGTTCTTTATTTCACCTCTGCCCCTTTATATCCCTTTATCTTCCCCTTTTTTTCCTCTTCGTATTTTTTCTTCTTTCTTTTCTTGTATCAGTCTTGCTCTCTTTTTTCTAATTCTCTCTTCTTTTGTGGTTGCTGTTGTTGTTGTAGTATGGGTTTTCTGTATGGTTTTGTTTCTTGTTTTGTTGTACTTTGTTCTATTCTGTCAGCACCTTAACAACAGCTCACACAACACAGTCGGGGGTGAGCCTCACAGTCAGCCAGCCTGAGTGGAGATTCCACACACAAATGGGACAACAATATTCAAGACCCAATTACAACAGGAGAGCCCAAATAACTCAAAAAAGGGGCATTACTAGAACACCAAGCTCAGGAGATCTAAGAGACTGCACCACTGGGTCCTACAACACACCTACTACATAAGACCACCCCACGAATACTGGGAAGCATAGCAGTTTGATATAATACATAAAAACAAATACAAAGGAACAGCAAAAATGGGGAGACAAAGAAACAACCCCCAAATGAAGTAAAATAAGGAATCACCAGAAAGGGAACTAAATGAAATGGAGGCAACAATTTGTCAGAAAAAGAATTCAAAGTAATGGTTATAAGGGTGCTCAAAAAATTTTGTGAGAACTACAAGCAACTTAATGAGAATTTATGGAACTTAATGAGAAATACATCAGCATAAAAACAAAGGTAGAAACCATGAATATAAATCAGGTGAAAATAAAGAATTACATAGCTGAAATAAAAAATACTTTGGAAGGAAGCAAGGGTAGACTAGAAGTGGAGGACTGAATCAGCAAATTAGAAGACAAGGTAGAACACTCATTCAGAGAAGCATTTGGGAAAAAAATTAAAAAGAAGGAGGAGAGTTTAAGGGAGCTTTGGGACAACATGAAATGAAACAACATACGCATCCTAAGGATATCAGAAGGAGAAGAATCTGAGCAATGAAGAGAGAACCTGTTTGAGGAAATAATGGCAGAAAACTTCCCTAACACAGTGAAGGAAAAAGTCACTCAAGTTCAGGAAACACAGAGAGTCCAAATCAAGATGAACACAAAAAGACCCACACTTAGACACATCATAATTAAAATGGAAAATGTTAAAAACAAAGAAAGAATCTTAAAGGCTGCAAGAGAGAGACAGAAAGCTACCTAGAAGGGAGCTTCCATTAGACTATTAACTGATTTCTCAATAGAAACAGTTTAGGCCAGAAGGGAGTGGCATAAAGTATACAAAGTAATGAAAAGCAAGGTACTGATTCCAAGACCGCTCTATCCAACAAAACTATCATTTAAAATAGAAGGTGAGCCCGGCCAGGCGTGGCTCAGTGGTTGAGCATCAACCTAGGATCCAGGAGATTGGGGTTCGATTCCCAGTCAGGGCACATGCCTGGGTTGCGGGCTAGGCATCCGATCAATAACTCTCTCATCCTTGATGTTTCTATCTCTCTCTCCCCCTCCTTTCCTCTCTCTGAAATGAATAAAGATATGTTAAAAAAAAAAAAAGAAGGTGAAATATAGAGCTTCACAGACAAAAAATGGCTAAAAGAGTTTATTACCACCAAACCAGCACTGCAAGAAATGCTAAGGGGACTGTTGTAAAAAGAAGAAACAGAAAGAGCAAGTGAGGAACACTGGTAGAACAAAGGATTCACAAAGACTGAAAGTGAAGAGATGGGGGAAAAAATTCTATGGGAATGGAAATGAAAAAAAAGCAGGGGTAGTAATACTTATATCTGACAAAGTAGGCTTCAAAGCAAAGGCCATAACAAGAGACAAAGAAGGTTGCTACATAATACTAAAGGGATCACTACAACAAGAGGATATAACCCTGGAAAACATATGCACCCAATATAGGAGAACCTCAATACATAAAAAAGCCCTTGGAGGACTTTAAGGGAGAGATCAACAGCAATACAGTCATAGTAGGGGACTTTAACACCCCACTAACATCCCTGGATAGATCTTCCAGACCAAAGAAAAACAAAAACAAGGAAACAGAGACCTTAAACAACAGACTACATGTGATGCATTTAATTGACAATTACAGAACATTCACCCAAAAGCTGCAGAATATACATTCTTCTCAAGTGCACAAGGGACATTCTCAAAGGTAGACCACATGTTAAGTCACACAATAAATCTATACATGCTCAAGAGGATTGAAATCATATCAGGCATCTTCTCAGATCACAAGGGAATGAAACTAGAAATCAAGTACAATAAAAACACTAAAAAATATTCAAACACATGAAGGCTAAATAGCATGATATTAAACAATGAATGGGTTACCAATGAGATCAAGAAACAAAAACACTTCCTGGAAACAAACAAAAATGAGTACACAACAACCCCAAATCTCCAGGACACAGCAAAAGCAGTCCTGAGAGGAAAGTTCATAGCATTACAGGTCTACCTCAAGAAAGAAGAAAAAGCTCTAATAAAATATCTAACAGTACAGTCTTACCAGAGGCTTAATATGGCAGCAGATTGAGTGGAAGCTACAAGCTACACTGACATTCCCAGGACTAAACTGGAATTACAACTGAAACATACAAAAACCATCCTGAATAATCAACTGCAACTGAAGACTAGCTGGAGAGCAACCTCATATCCAGGGCGAAAAGTAGAGAACTCACAGAGACTGGTAGGAAGTTCAGAGGTGCAAGGGGCCTGGCTGGGATCCCACAAGGAGCAGCTGAAGGTACAGATGGATACCTCAGCTGT